CCTATTCCTCTTTTACTCGTTCGATTATTTTTAAATTGAATATATTATGGATACTATACTATAATATTATAATTTTAAGCATTATATAATACATAAATGTATATTAATATTCCAAATTACCTTTTATTTATTTTTAACTTCATGTTTTGTATGATTATATTAATTAATTAATTAATTAATTTATAATAAAAATAACTAATTTAATAAATGAGGCATCACAAATATCCCGAACTCATGTCGGAAAAATATTTCTCATATCTCACCAATTTCTACGGGTTAATGGACAAAGATAGTTAGTGCTTTTATTTGCTGGGCATGTTAGCAAGAAAACTACTCTGCTCCAAATTTGCCCTGTTATCATTCCTACTTGTGTCCTATGCTTCTTCTATCTTTCTTTTTTTTCTTATTTATTCTTTTTTGCTAAGAAAAAACACCCATCATATCACGGCACCACCCCTTTCTCTCCAACGTGACCCTAAATTAACCCCTTTTATTTAACAACTAGTTTTGTAAGTATTGTCGTTTTACAAACACACAAAAGTTTATTATTTATCAAATAATGTGAAATTTATTTATACAATTATTTAAGGATTTTTTAATTTATTTCAAAAAGTAAGATGTGTAAAGATAATAATTGACAAAAAAATTAAGTAGAGGCACATTTGAAGAAAATTATTTTAACCAACTAAAATAAAATAAGAACACATCCAAAAATAAAAATACTCTCATAAGAATAAAGTGAGGAACACATATTTTTAAAAAACAAATTAAAATGTAAAATAAACAAAAAATAAGATAATAAAGTAAAAAAAAAGAAAAAAGTTAAGTGGAGATATCGAAAAACTTTGACTTTTTTATGTATTGTTATATGTGTATACATATATTTCTGATTGATAACGGTGTTAATTTATTTACAAAAATTGATACGTGGGTTACATACGAGTTGTTAATTAGTGACATAACATGGTGACTTTTTTTTAATCTATTTTAAGTTTTTAAACCAAATTTACTGAACAAATAAATTTTAAATGTAATTTCTTTTAAAATTTACTTTATTTAAATTCACTCATACTAACTCAATATTATAAAAGGAGAATTCTTATCATTTTATAATTTAAAAATGAATTACCGGTAGTTTTTTATTTTCAACCGTCATATAATTTGTATCAAATTTTGTCTCTTTTGTATATTTTTTCAATGTAATGTCATTTAACCTGATCTAACGGTCATAAACTGGTGCTGGAACTAACTTATCAGATAAACTCCTTTATTATATATATGGGACTTTCTCTAGTGTCACTTGCTTATTAGCTGTCAAATTTGTATTAAATATGGCCAAATGTCAAATCAAATTGAAAAATTAATATAGATCCGACGACTGATAAACAAAGAACATTGATGTTCCTAAAAAAGAGAGAACGTCAAAGAAATTTCCTATTTCTATCAGCAATTGTAAGTTTGGCACTTTTTTATTTCAACATGATTTTTGATAAAATATGGCGTTAAAAAATGTGCACGAGGATATTCCCTACTTAAAAGGCTCCTGTAAATCCTTATTCGTCTCACCGATTCAAGTTTTCAATTCCAATTTTACTACAGTTAAAAGCTCTTACAAAAAGTCACATCCTTAATTTACTACAGTTAAAAACTCTCACAAAAAGTGTTGAAAAAAGTGCATGTGTGTTATCCCACATGGAAATGGATGAGAATGTGAAATGGTTTATATACATGGAAGGGCCCAAGATTAATATGTTAACCTTTTGGGTTAAGTTAGACTCATAATGTGTGTTAGACCAGTTTCGCATGTGGTGTTCCCTTAACAAGTGGTATCAGAGCCAATGGTTTGTATGGGTCAAACAATCATACTACGTTGTAGTTCCTACGTTGTCTCCCGTGAAGAGTTGGTGTTCCCACAGATGATGGAGCATTTGTGGACTCACATAGTTTTGACTTTTTTTTCCATGCTCGATTGGCTTCCGTTTGGAGTGTAATGCTTGGATGTGCTGGCTATTAGAAACTTTAGTTCGAGAGGGAGCTCAATGAAAGGGAGATTATTGAAAAAAGTACATATGTGTGTTATCTCACTTAGAATGTGAATGAGAATGTGAAATGATTTATATACATGAAAAGACCCCAGACTTAATAAGTTATTCTTTTAGGTCAAGTTGGATTTATAAAATGTATTAAACCAATTTTATATATGGTGTTTCTCTAATAAAAAATTATATTTTTATATAAATTAAAAATTTAAATCAACAAACTGTAATTAAATAACATTGATATATCTAACTTTGCTTAGGAAATTATGTTTAGCTCCGGCCTCTCTGTATTCACGTGCACTATTTTTTCTCCTCGGGTACAAAAGCGAGGGAGGAAAAAAAAGAGTGGACATCATAATGAGTTGCATGCATATTACTCGGTTCTCACGAGATAAGAGGTGTAATAAGTGGGTCTTAGTACTCTTTCAAAACGGATATTGTACTATTACTATTCTTCAAAATATCAGAAAGAGAGAGAGAGATCGGAGAGATGAGTGATATTGGCCTAAACAAGATCATGATCACATGGGCCCTCACTAATTTCCAAGTGGTCCCTCCATTCCATTTGTCCCAAACCGTTCAGAGGTTCGTTGGCAATATAGCATTGCCGTGAATGACTGCTGAAGTTGAACTGATCATGAGAACTTACAGGTAGACGACAGCCAAATTCCAACACACTAGCTTCCAAACGCATGCACCTACCTAATTCCATTAATGATCTATGTACTACTAAACCACGAAACGACATTCCAATAGTTAAGTCCATCTATAAGCTAAGACTTTAGGTCCGTTTAATTTGTTGATTTAAATTTTTAATTTGAGTTGAAATGAGATTTTATGTGAGAATTTTTTATTCTGATAAAAAAATTAAATATGACTATTTTTAAAAAAATAAATTTTTAATTTGAGTTGAAATGAGATTTTATGTGAGAATTTTTTATTTTAATAAGAAAATTAAATATGACTATTTCTGAAAATTTTTTACTATAATAAAATTTAAATCGATAAAATAAATGGGTCTTAAACATTCTAATAATTACGTTAGTCAATAAAGTTAAGTGAGTTTGTTTGCTAAGTGTCTCTTAATTTTTAAAATAACAGAAACCGTCAATTTCATATACTTTTATAATGTATTATGATTTTAATTAAATCTAAAGTTAGAAGAGAGAAAGTTAATATCATGATTAGAATTGAGGGAAAATATGTCACTTAGATACGGTAATACAACATGTATATTTGTTTAATGAAAATGCTCGATGCTCTGTAAGGAACTTTTTTTGTTGTTGTCATATACTTTTATAATGTATTATGATTTTAATTAAATCTAAAGTTAGAAAAGAGAAAGTTAATATCATGATTAGAATTGAGGGAAAATATGTCACTTAAATACGGTAATACAACATGTATATTTGTTTAATGAAAATGCTCGATGCTCTGTAAGGAACTTTTTTTTTTTTTTTTGTCTTTGTGTGTGGTAATATATGGACTCAAATTGATTGATGTGATTTTTTACTCTAATGTACAATAAATAGAGTAAGTTTGAAGATTTTAATTTTGTTCTGTTTTTATGAACAACGTTCATTGCACGTAAAATAGATGTTGATGGGGGGGAAAGGGGTTCATGATAAGAATATGAGACTTTCCGCTTGATAGTATTTATTTAACTGAATCCACCATTTTACCTTGACGAGCAAATAAGGGTTACCCACGTGATGTCATTAATAATATCACCACCCAAAGGCAAGGCGTGCCCCATCTCTGTTTCTTATAACGTGGCATCAGAAATATATTAGTTGTTTTTTCCTTTTTTTTTTTGGGTTTTTTAATAAAAAATCAGATTTTTTTTTTTTTTTTTGCTTAGAAAATTTGAAATAGAGCTTCTTGCATAATTGAATATAATAGAATAATATCATTCATCATTTGTTTCAGAATACAGTTATTATTCACAATTTGATGATACAATTACAGCATATCATATAAAATTTTTTTATATATTTCAGCTTGCACATATTATTGTTTATGTGTAATGATATCCTTGATATTAATAAATAGTATATTTACACTGCCTCGTGATATAAAAATTGGTTTCACTCAAATGACTCAAATTTGATTGTACTATTCTAAAGAGCAAAGACGTGTCTAGTGAGGTGTAAATGTAATGTTGTATTTAATCCCTAAAAACAATTTGAAGTCAAGGCCAAATTAAAAATGTTTTTTAGGAAATGAAAATTAAAAATACTTTGGTTTATAAAGAATAAAATAATTAAAAACGTCATCAATTACTAAACTTTCAACCTCTTCAGATTGTCTTAAAAAAGAAGCTACCTTTACCTTTAGTCTAAAAATTGCTTTTGAACATGTTTAGATGAATATCCTTAAGTACTTATAGCTTTTATAAGTTCTTTAGAGTAAACCACCTCCTAAATGTTTATGAAAAAAACTTATAAAAAAATTTTTATTTATATTTTTAACCTTTTATTCATGAACAATAAATTGACAATTTCATCTATATCCTTATATTATTGTAACAATAAGTGTTTTTGATTAAAAACTCTTATGACATAGAGACTTTTTTTATGTACTATCTGATCACTAATTAAAAAACCCCACTTATATTTTTTTCCATCTATTACTTAAAAATAAAAATATAAACTCTCTTCTATTACTTAAAAATAAAAGTATAAACTCTTTCAAACAGACTTGAAACACTTGAAACATTTTAAAGTTCATAAATTTTATCAAAATTTAAATTTCAGAGTCCGTCGTACAAAAAAGAATAATTTGGGATTTTCTACATGATTTTCCTTAAAAAGAGAGAATGACTCACCAAATATTACCACGTGGCATGCGTCCACAAATGAATCTTCAGATTCTCGCTATGCAATGCAACACCAGATAACACCATAATATCTGATCGCCTGAAAACGTACTGTTCTTTTTAAAAAGTAAAAAAAAACGGTAAGACAGAGACAGCAAGGTTTTGTTGTTGCTGATGTTGTCTTTTCGTTTCTGTTTTCGTTGCCAAAACAGAACTTCCTTTCCTTAACCCCCTCAGAAATCCAATCCAAAATCCAAATCCTTGCTGTAAATTAAAACAATCCATTTTTCTTTTTTCCTTTTCTTTCCCTTATCGTTCAATTATTCTTCTCTTCTTCGCCAAGATCTGCCTTTTGGTTCCCTCCTCTCTCTCTCTCTCTCTCTCTCTATCACTCCTTTCTATCAGTAATACTTTTGGTTTCCAGGGAAGAGAGAGAGAGAGAGTTTCTGAAGTTACAGAGATCTAGGAATTTTCTTTTCATGTAACAGAGGTAATAGGAATATTTTCCTGTTTGTTTTGGCCTTTTTTGTTATTCTGATAACATTTTCTCACGTTTTGTTTTTTCCTCGGTTTTTCTTTGTCGGTTTCCTCAACTGGGTGTTCATGTAATTTTCCGTATATTGGGAATTCGTACGGTTTTTGTGAAGATTTTTGCGGTTTTGTCAACTGGGTTTTTGCGTCATTTATTGGTTGGTTTAATGAACCGGTGAAAAAAGTTTCCTCCTTTTTCTCCATTGCATTGGCGGTTTCCTATTTGTTTGGCCGTTTCACTTTCCATCATTAAATTAACAAGTTACTAAATTGTGTTTATTGGTTACGTTTGTGTTATAGATCAATTTTCAACACATAAATTCCCTGTCAAAGTCATGACTTTTCTTTGAGTTCTGAGGTTTTGGTCTTATTGTTATCTCCATTTGCTTGTTTTTCACATTCAAAGATTCTTTTCTTTGCGTTGAATTTTCAGAAAGTGTGAGAAAATTTTATTTTATTTATACATTTGGGTCTTCTGAAAAAATATCATAATTCGCTTTGAATTTTCCTCAGATGAACTAAGTTGAAGAAAATGGGGAAGAAAGGGAATTGGTTTGCTGCTGTGAAGAAAGCTCTCAGCCCAGACTCCAAGGAAAAGAAAGATGTACAGATATTTTTATTTTCTGAACTTTAATTAGTTAATTTCTTTTTATATCTTTTATTTTTTTCAAATTATATAACTCTCTAATTCAGTAATTGTCAATTTTGTATTAGAAAACCCCCAAGACAAAGAAAAAATGGTTTGGGAAGAACAGCAGTACGGACGCGGCTGTTTCTTTCAAAGAACAAACTCCTTTGCCTGTTCCTGACCCTTGTCCTCCTGTGGAAGATGTGAAATTGGCTGAGATTGAGAATGAACAGAGCAAACATGCTTACTCCGTCGCGCTAGCCACTGCGGCAGCAGCGGAGGCGGCTGTGGCCGCCGCGCAGGCTGCTGCTGAGGTTGTTCGTCTCACCGCAGTGCCCCGGCACTATGGAAAATCGAAGGAGGAGATCGCAGCTGTTAAAATTCAGACTGCTTTCCGGGGGTATTTGGTATGATTTTTAATGGCTTTATGTGCCTCAATTATGTTCTCTTCAGTTACTTTTCCTACTCTCTTAGCAGTGAAATTTTTAATTTATAATTAAAATTTTAAAGGTCTATATGCAATAGTTCACATGTCTAAGTTTGACGTTTGATTTGTAATTTCAGCAGATGTGATGCTTTTGGTTGTTATGTAGTCAGTGGATAATCTTATCTGAGAACCAATTGAACTTTTGGTCTTATTCAACTTGGTCAATATGAAACATTCACATTTTTTATAAAAGATTTTTCTTTTCGTGTAATTGATTTTCCTTGAATGAATAAGTTTGAAAGAATAATAATAATTGCCTGCATTTGTGTCAAAAATGTCTCATAATTTTATTTTGAGATCACCTTCCATAGTCTTATAGTTTTATAAAGTGTTTATAGCATGTTGACCAGGTATTTTGAAAGCAACATTTGATGTTCTTATCTCCCTATTTCAGATTACATATAACTGTGCAATATTGCTGTGTATATCATTAATTAAAGGTCCTATCTGCTATTGTTTGTTATTTGAAGGCAAGGAGAGCATTGAGGGCTTTGAGAGGCTTGGTAAGGTTGAAATCATTGATACAAGGGCAGTCTGTCAAAAGGCAAGCCACTACCACGTTACGGTGCATGCAGACTCTTGCTCGCGTGCAGTCTCAGATTCGCACGAGAAGAATCAGAATGTCGGAGGAGAATCAGGCGCTTCAGCGGCAGCTCCAACAGAAAAGAGAAAAAGAGCTTGAGAAGTTGAGAACTTCCGTAAGTTTCTCTGCTCTATTATGTCTAACTTCAAATCTCTAGGCTCTTTGGTTGCACCTATGCATGAATTATCTCTGTGAATCCTGGTTTTCTCACAACCCTCTAGTCCATTCAAAATGTTTAGAATATATTTTTCTAATTTTAGTGGTTGTCAAATGATAAAATTTCAAAACAGATGGGAGAAGAATGGAACGATAGCACGCAATCCAAAGAAAAAATTGAAGCAAGACTGCTAAGCAAACAAGAGGCTGCTCTGAGGAGAGAGAGAGCATTGGCTTATGCATTTTCTCATCAGGTATTGGACTCTCCACTTTATAGCTTACTAGTGAACTTTAGGCACGCTATGAGCACTTTTGAATCTTGATGTAAGATTCTGTTTGAAACTTTCTAGAATTTTGCCAAACAAAATCTGCAGAATAGTATATAGACAGAGAAAAAAAGATGAGAAATGGGAGAATATGATATATTTAGGGAGATCATTATGTAGATACACATTTTTAAAATGTCCTCGATTTAGATTTCTGTCAGTTTTGTTAGTTTTTAAGGGAGATCATAGTAAGATTTCCTTATGATTGAGTTCTTTAAGGGATGGAATTTATTGCTGGCCATATCTTTCAATTTCTATATTTGTTAAAATTCTTGCTGTTATAAGACTAATTTCAAGACCTTACTTTGATCTTTGCCATGATGTTATTTCTTTACGGCAGACGCTGAAGAACTCATCAAAATCCGCAAATCCCACATTCATGGATCCCAATAATCCCCACTGGGGGTGGAGTTGGCTAGAACGTTGGATGGCTGCCAGGCCATGGGAGAGCCGAAGCACAGTGGAATACCACGACCACACTTCCATGAAGAGCGCAGCAAGCAATGCCATGTCTGCCGGAGAGATCACCAAAGCTTATCACCGCCGTGATCTCAGCCGCGAAAACAAACCCTCCCCCACAGCTCAAAAACCAAGAGACCAACAAACTACTCGTCAATCCCCATCTACCCCCATGTCCAAGGCGCCATCAATATCATCCATAACTGGGAAAACCCCGAAGGGAAGTGCCTTTGGCAGCCGGGAGGAGGACTCGAGGAGCATGTTCAGCATTCAGTCAGAGAGGTACCGGAGACACAGCATTGCAGGGTCTTCAGTGAGGGACGACGAGAGCCTCACAAGCTCACCTCCTGTCCCGAGTTACATGGCGCCGACGCAGTCAGCAAAGGCCAAATCCCGGATGCCAAGCCCACTAGGCTTTGAGAAAAATGGCACGCCACCTGATACGGGGTCGGTGTCTTCTGCCAAGAAGCGGCTTTCTTTCCACACTTCACCAGCCGGGTCGAGGAGGCACTCCGGTCCTCCCAAGATTGACACTAGCACTTTTATTAAGGACATTGGATTGCATTTGGAGGAAAAAGTCAGCAATGGAGGAGGCAACAGGTAGTCTTTGACATGAAAACAAGATTGAATAAAAGGAGAATTGAGCCTTTGATATTCGTTTCCATTATCATCCCAAAGAATTTTCATCTTTCAAAGTGTGAGGAGGAAGGCCCAAAAAAAGAAAAAAGAAAAAAGGTGGCTCCTTTATCTTCTTCTTGTTCTTCTTAAATGTTGTTATGTCTTTTATCATGTTGTAGGATTGGTTTGGCCGTTTGGGAGGTGAAATCAGTTAAAAGTAACAAAACTTTTACAGTTTGAATCCGTTGTAGTGCTGTTGTAAGTGATCCTCTTACAATGTTTTTCTTTCTATATGTTGTTAATCCTACGTTGGCTTCTTTTGACTTGCCAAGGGGAACAAAGTAGTCCTAATCAACTACTTGTTGTGGTTTAGTTTTCTTAGTATAAAAAAAAAAAAAAAAATCTATTTGTGGTGGTCTATTGACAATTTCTTTAGATTTGGACTTGTGGCTTTTGACATTCTAAGGAAAGAATTTCTCTTTTGTTTAATTCTGCACCTTTTTTGCTTTTTAAAGCAAATAAATTATTATGGTGATGGTGATGATCATTATCATTACTCTGTCAACCATGCGTGCTTGGTGTGCTTGGCCCACCATATGACGTTAAGTGGAATGCTTTAATTTAGTAAAATTGGAGCATATTATTTTTTTTTTGGTTCTCTCTGATTTAAAATTGTTTTAAGTTGATATATGTATACATAAAAATTACAATAACATGAGTTAATGTAGGCTCCGTTCATTTAACAAATTCGAGTATAGAATTTAAATTTTGTTACAGTAAAAAGCTCTCAGAAACAGTCACATCTAACTTTTTTGCTACAGTAAAAAGCTCTCACATAAAATCACATCTCAACTCGAATTAAAAACTTGAATCAGCGAACTAAATGGGCTCATATTTTATGCATAAAAATCCATTGGGATCTGTTAAAAAAAAGGAATGCAATTACGACGAGTTTTATAGAGAAACACATATTTAAATAAAAGAGAAATAAAAGAGTAAACGCAAATTGAGTTTTATAATTCATGTTCAAATCATGCTTATAACTAGACCGCCTATCATGCTTTTAATGTCTATGAGGTTGTTCTTTTGCATTTTTGAGTTAGGATGATTTGAGTGATGATTTTGAGTTAAGTTTGAGTTATAACTTAAGTTAAAATTATAATTTGAGTTTGAGTTTGGATGTGCACATTTGAGTTATAATTTGAATTAAGAATCTTTTTGAGTTTGTATTTGGGTAGGTCAAAACTTAAATTTATATTTAGATAGTATTTTAATAAAAACTCAATGGTGATAAAAAATTTTAATAGGATATATGGGTGGAGTTTTATTCGTGTTTTTGTTGTGAATGAATAGAAAAAAATCATCTCAATCAGAATTAAAACGAAAAAGTTATAGCATTTTTAAGAATAGAAAAAAATACTGTTCATTAACTTGAGTTCGAGTTTATGAACTCGAGTTGAACTTGAGTTTAGCCATAAACTCAAGTTCAAACTCAAATTTTACAAAAGAACATAAACTTGAATAAAGTTGTAACTCGAGTTCAAACTTTTTCTGAGTTTCGTTGCAAAAGAACAACCCCTATGTGTCTTGATGAGTGCATGAAAATGCACCATAAATATTACTTTTGATTTATATAATATTAAAGTATTTAAGCTTTAATTAGACAATTCTATTATTTTTATTCAAAATATTTTTAATTGAAATTTGTCTAGTTTTTACTTTATTATTTGTAGATAAAACGCAGTGTAAAAGCTATACAGGAAGAAGCCATGTTTTCACCAAATCTTAGCCGCCAAGCCGAGCCATTATAGAGAGAGTAAGCCGCCAAGCCGAGAAAGAGCCGCGTGAGCCGAAGCCACAAGGTGATTTTCGCGTGGGCCCCAGCTCTCCCACGTTCTGCACTCCACCTCGCGCGCGTCACCTGCACGCAAGACTCCCAGAGCGCGTCCCATTCACGCACGATCTCCAACGCGTTCCGACCCAATTTTGCGTGGGTGCAGCAGACCTACCGCTTTCTCTGCGCGCGCCACATGTCTAACGCTGGTCCTACACCTGCGATGCCAGCCGGACTTCCCAATGGATGCGCGCCATCTGTCCCCCAGCTATCCTCCACTCTGGCAGTGCCAGCAAGCTCCAATGATTCCACGCGCGACACGTGGCGCTTTGTCTCCTCACTGCCAATCACGTTGCGACACGTGTGTAATGAGTGTTGAGTCTAAATTTCTCCTTCAAAATCAGAGCAAATTGGCCATATTTCTTCCCCAAATCATATATATGATTTTTCATAATTTATGTGTAATTTTATTTTTTGTTTCCTTTTCTTTTGTAATTTTCTATTTTTATTATTTGTTTCCTTATTTGACAGGCAACTTCTAAACACTATAAATAAGAGGGTTAGCCTAAGGTTTTTATAAGTTTGAATATTTAGTTTTCTGTCATCTTGCTGTCAGTCTCATATTTTCTCTTTAGAACTTGTGAGAATGTTTTGCAAGCTAGGCTAGAGTTCTCTTTGTGAGGTTAGAGATGAACTCTTGTTAGTGACCCAATTCGGGCTTTTGATTCCTTGTGGTGTAATGTTCAATATCAGAATGAATCAAATCTCATCTATCTTTCATGTATTTTTCAAAATATTGTGTGCCAATTTTTATATGTAAGTTCAGTCACGCTTTTCTTATGTAATTCTGTCATGCACTATTTTGCCATTCAAATTATTTTACAAATTGTCTTTTACTGCAATATTGTCAAATTGATATATTATCGATTTTAGATAACTTGTGATGATAATATTTTCGGAGTCAACATAGAGATTTAATTTATTTGATTTGTTTTTTTGTTTTTTGTTTTTTTTTTGTGAATCAAAACTTGAATTGGTGAACAAAACATTAGGAATTCTCGACCCTTACTATTTTTACTACTGAATTTCTTTCACACAAATCTTATATCTTTTTTATTTGCAATAAAGTCTCAAAAAACTATTCTTTTTCATTAATTCACTTGTTATTTATTTTTCTCTAACATTCTTATTCTGCTAATCTTTTTTGTTATTTTGTTCTCTCTCTGTGGATACGACCGCCATTCTGTGTTACAATCGACCGCTTGTGAACATCACTTTTGGGCGTTAATCAAATTTTGACGCCGTTGCCGGTGAGGTGCTAAAAACGAGAGTGATCAGTAGATTTTTGAGCTAAAAAGGTAAATATACATTTATTATTATTATTATTATTTTGTTTACGTTACTTTTTTTTAGTTATCTTTTTCATTGGTTTGCTGCATATGTCTTTCTTTTCTTTTTCTTGTGTTCTTTCTTACTTTATTCTTTTTTTCTGTATTCGTTTATTACTTCATCAAATTTAAAAAAAAGTTTACTTTTGATTCTTGTCGTTTATTGCTGCCAGTTGTAACTTTTGTATTCTTTTTTTTTTATTTTACCGTCCCTTATTCGAAACAAAAAAAAGGTTCCCTTTATCATTTTTTTTTATTTCCGTAGTTTTGGTTGCTGAAAAAAAACACTTTTAGGATTCATTTTTTTATTATTAATTTTATTTTCCCTTTTAATTTTAAAATTGATTATGATTTGATTTTATAATATTTTATTTTTGATAAATTAAGATTTTATTTTGTTTTCTCATTTGTATATTTTAATTGTTGATTCTTATATCGTTGTCTAATTTAATTTTTCCTTTATAATTTTCATTAATTCATAGGATTGTAATTAGGATTATAATTCATTGACTATTCTTAATCTCAGAATTTCATAATTTGATAGATTTAGGCTTTTTGACTTTAGAAATAGCTTCCCTTAATTAAATTACATTTCATAATTTATTCAATAAAATTTATTAATTGGTTTTGAGGATAATTGTGCGGTTACGTGGAAAGTACAATCTGAGAGAATTCTGTCTAGGAAAGTTGGTACTTAAGTGGGTCTCGCCCCACTAATCTTTCCTGGGAACGTTACTCTGTCTAGGAGACTATTCATTGAGCCAAGAGCTATAGCCTTTCCTGGGAGCACTCTCGGTTGTTACAATTTACGTTACTATATAATTATTTTCTTTTGTGTTGACTAAAAATAAAAAAAAACAAAAAAAATAAAAAAAATTAAAAAAAGAGCCGCTTAGGGTGAATGCATCAATATAGAGACGAACTATGGAGATTTGCGCAATGTCCAGACGTAGAAACCTCTAGTGAAATTCTATCTGACTCGTCTTCTACGCCTCCGTCTTCACACTCGTCGTTGGAATTCGCACTTCAAAATCTATTCGCAATGGCACAACACGAGGAAGTTCAGCAGAGGACGTTGCAAGATTACCTGCACCCAACGCGAACGGCCACCCCATCTTGCATCATGTTCCCACCGAATGCACCGCCTACGGATTTCAAGCCGGGCATGATTGCACTTCTCCCAACCTTTCACGAGTTAGAGAATGAGAACCCCTATGTATACATCCGGGAGTTTGAAGAGGTGGTGGCCACCTTTGACAACCGTGCTGAGGCCGCAAACACCATCAGATTGAAGTTTTTCCCTTTCTCTCTGAAGGACAAAGCCAAAAGCTGGTTGTATTCTCTTAAGCCCAGGTCTATTGGTACGTGAGAAGAAATGACGATGACATTCTTCAACAAGTATTTCCCACACCATAAGACCAACAATTTGAAACAACAAATCTCAAATTTCGCTTAGAAGAAAAACAAAACTCTTTATCAAGCTTGGGAGCGTTTTAAAGATTTGTTAAATCTGTGTCCCCACCATGGATATGAAAGTTGGCGCCTCGTAAGCAATTTCTACGATAGGCTCACAATCCGAGAGTGCCAATTTGTTGAGATGATGTGCAATGAGGATTTTCTCCAAAATGATCCTGACGAAGCTATCGAGTACCTGAATGAGTTAGATGAGAAAGCTCATACTTGGACTGGACCAAGTGCTACTGAGAGCAGTAGTAAGTCCCGACCAGTTGGAGTTTATCAATCAAGGGAAAAGGACAGCCTCAAGGCCTAAGTTGAAGCTTTGACAAAGCAAATCGAGGCCCTCAAAAGTAAAGATAGTAAAGGACCCCACATGGTGGCAAAGACAGAGGCACATGAGCCATGTTTCGTTTATGGTGGAGAGGACCATCTAGCTCAGGATTGCCACACTTTAAGTGAAATGGGAGGCGTATACGGGGAACAATGCAATGTATTAGGCCCATACAATAAGCCTTATGGACCTTTCTCAGAAACTTATAATCCTGGTTGGAAAAACCACCCAAACTTTAGTTGGAGAGATCCAAACCAA